GAGAGAGGAAGTAGTATTAGAGCACCTGTCAGACATCAGGCACCTGTCGGGTAATTTACACTGTTTCATTTAGTCCCCACACTAACCCCAAGAAGTTGGCATTTTTCTCCATGAAGGGATACAGAGAGTTAATAGGTATTCATCCACTCATTTGGGAAATATTTATTATGCAATAACAATAGTCCAGGCATGGTCAGGATGGTGAGGCTACAATGGAGAAGTGAAAAGACACAGTTATTGTCTTCACTGGCCTCTCAGTCTAGTGGCAATGGTAAATATTGCTTGCATTAAAAAGCTTGCAGGCATTATAGAATAAGCATTAAGTGCCAAGCAGGTATAGAAAATGGATCACTTACTCAATCATTCGACACATGATTATTGGAAGCCTAAGATACTATTCAGCTCGTGCAGCACTTTTGGTTTAAGAAACCATGTATACTTATTTTTTCAATACTGAGGATTGAACCCAGAGCCTTCATGCTGAGCTATATCTGCTGCCCTTTTTATTTTATTTTTTTATCTTGAGAGAGGTTCTTGCTAAGTTGCTTGCCTAGGCTGGGCTCAACTTGTGTTCCTCCTGCCTCAGGCTTCTGTAGTGCTGAAATTACAGGTATGTGTCACCACACCCAGTTGCAAGTAGTACTTTTACCAAGAAATAATCTTTCCTGTCTTGAATTTGTGCTTCATTAAATTAACATTAACAGTTGTAAAATACAAGTTGAAGACTCATATTGTTAATATTGGCGCACATATATGTGCTTATATGGGTAGAGCAAAGTTAAAATTGATATGTATTTTGGGGTTTGCTGATGGAGAGGTTTCATATCTGTGTTGTACATAGATGCATGGCTAGAAGCATGTGAAAAGTCTCTTCATGAGACCAAGGAACTGAATTTTAATTAATTAATTAATTAAAATTTTCAAGTTTTAATTGATTCAAAATTTAACTTTAACAGCAGTTATATGTGGTTTACTAGCACATATTTGACAGCATAGTTTTAAACAATTTGCAGAGGGTGTAATGCACTCTGAAACTCACTTCTTCCCCATTACCTTTGGAGAGGCTTAGACCATCAGTCTTGGGAGCCTGAAGTCTTCTGTTTCTGCTGAAGTCACACTGAGACTCCTCTAATCAGTGAGAGCCTTGTATTTCTGGGATGGATCCAAAAAAGACATTATTAGGTGATTCCAAGGAAGATATTAGTTCCAAGAAACCAGGTCCAATCTGGACTCCAATTAGACTCAACCACAAATAGACCTGGATTAGTCTTTAATCCAAATTGTCCGATCAATGCTAGTCAATCTGGAGAAAAAGCAACATTGAACTGGATAAAAAGTAGACAAAAGCAGAGTTCCAGTTCTCCTGTAACTCCGAAGGCATGGTGGCTCCCAAGCTGCATCAAAGCAAGAGATGAAAAGGCAGATAAATTTCTAGCTATCTCAATTTCCTGTATGAGGTAGACTCAAATCCCCCAGCCTCCAACCCCATCAGAGCAGTGGCTGTGTATGAATCGCACACATACACACTCACACAGTCATCCCACATGTGCCTTTGGGTGTCAGAGTCTCTAATAAACTTAGTGACCATATGTGCTTGACACCATTATATTGCTGAGAGTCTAATCAAGGAATGAAGTAAAAGAGAGATGATTTAAACTGAAAAGAAATGAAATTGAAATTGTTTTAGATCCTTTTGCCAAAAGCACCTAACCTATTATCTGAGCTTGTTTTAAATAAGAAGTTGTTACTGAATAGTTTCCCTAGTGTGAGAAATTGAAAGTGTAAATAAGGACTAAAAGGTATAATAGATAATGTAAAATAGGAAGAAAAGGGGCAAAGGGGAAGGGGAAGGGGAAGTGGGAGGGGTAGGGGAAAGGAAAGAAGGGAATGGAATTAATATGAGAAAATGAAAAAATGGAAACGAAGTCTTTGTAGATAGGGAGGGGGTAGAGGGGTTGAAGGGAGGGCAGGGGAAGGGGGAAAATAAGAATCAAGATGGATTATTCCAATAAACGTGCAAATTTCCAATGATGAATGTCATTATATTGTATACCTTAAATGTACCAATAAAATTAATTTTAAAAAATAAGACGTTGTTACTTATCACGCAATAAATTAAATTTGCCCTGTCAGATATTAAAATATTCAGTGATGAAAATTACTACACTGCCGCTGATTTAAGCTCCCATATTTACTGGGCCTCTTGACCCTGGAGATGTTCTTTCAGCTCTAGATATTTTTTAAATGACATAGTCAAATATAGTTCATATTTCTTCTTGGATAACAATGAATTGACTATTCTTTCTGACTGCTTTAGGTGTGCTGGCAGCTACCTCCTCAGCCAGCTAGTTGACCTCACATCTTAAACTATGAATTGGTGCACAACATTTCTGACGTAACAGCAGCTTATTACTGAGGCATTACTGACAGACAACTGCTTCCAGACCTGCCATAGGATCTGGCCACTACCCCAGGGAGCAACAGGAACCAGCATCATGATTCCTCTTGCTTTATTCTTAAGGCAAGGAAAGGAACCAGACCTTTAAAAAGATGATACATATTATATTTTAGTATGCTTGCCACTTGCCAATTATTAATTTGAAAATTGGTCTTATGAAAACACTATTCAAAAGAAAATTGGCTTGGTGTATGAATGATATCAGATCCCTTCATGATACTGTAGTAATAAAAGCCTCCATTTATGGGAAGCCAATGATGTGTTAAGACATGTTTATTAGACACATTTATTGTTATTTTCAGTTTCCCCAACAACCAGGAAAGTAAAAACAGTTTGTTTCTCTTTTTCAGGTGAAGAAACTACATCTATGAAACTAAGCCACTTGTCTCAGATCACAAGATTTGGAAGCCAACAACCCTTTTAGCACCTGTAAGCCAGTACTGTTTCTGTTTTGCTGCTGAATCGTCTAGGGTGTGGAGATCCTGCAGGAGAGATATTGGAAAGGGCAAAGAGGGAGGCCAAGAGTGCCAACATGTCTGGCTTTCCTGGGTTAGCAGAAGTGACAAAATACCTAGCTTTTAGTCTATGTCCCTTAGCTTTGCCAGGCATGATACTAGGCACAAATGAAATATTTGCTGAAATAAACTTTTTAAAATCTGCCTTCAAAATATTCATTTCAAATATATTTCTGAGCAAGTATTATGTGTGAACATTGTGTTAAGCACTGGAACACAGGAAAGAACAAGAATGCAAAGAATGGATTATGTGCAGGTGGGGAAGAGAGAAAAAAATGACTACAGCAATGAACAAAATAATTCCAGATGGTGCTGATGCATATGAGAAAATTATGACAGGGTTTTCACAAAAACTACTAAATTGTATTTCTGAACATACTTTTAAAGAAAACATATGTAGTCAAATTTTATTTTTTATGGCTCAATTCAAAGAGATGCATTAAGCTCACAAAAAAATTCTCATTGTTGTCATGTTTCTATGTTCCTTGGACTTGAAAAGGAGTATGAATTAGGAAAATATTTTATTTAAAAATGAAATTTTTTTATAATGTCAGTTCTTGGAAAAACTGTATCATAATTACATTATTAAGTGCTGTAAATTGCTATAAAGTCACAAGAAGAAAGACAAGCTCTACCCTTAGAGGAAAGGGAAGTCTCCTAACTACTTTTGAAAGAAAAAGCATTTCCTTGGCAGGCAAGAGTTAGGGAAGAGCACTAAGAGCCAACACAGGCATAAATGTATAAATTGTTTGAGAATATAATCTGCCATCTTGAATGTGTATCTTAAAAGAAAAAGAAAAATAATTTGAAAGCCTTAGAGTCTGATTTACCTTGATGTTTTTCGTTTTAGAAAAACTCCTTTGCTCTCCCAGTATTGCTTCATGAGGCTCATTTTGCCCACCACACAAAACCATGTTCACTGATACAACAAATTATGTAAAAGAGTTTACTGAAAAGGTGCAGCACAATTTGTAATAGCTAAATCTTGGAAACAGCCCAAACGGCCATCAATTAACGAATGGATAAAGAAGATTTTATACAATAAAGTACTACTCTGCCACAAAGAAGGATGAGCTTCAGACATTTATAGCTAAATGGATGGACCTTGAGACCATAATCTTAAGTGAAATAAATTGGACAGATATATATATATATTTTGTGGTATCAAATGTCATTTTATTTCTACTACAAAATTCACCAGAAAGAGTTACTGCAACAATCTAATATAAAGCAAATCTTTAACCAAAGGACATGGTATAGACCTTTTAAAAAATATCCATTCTTTATCACAATAACGGCAAGGAAAAATTCAATTCTATCATCAGGACCAAGCTGAAGTTTCTGAAGTAGTACAGACAGATAACAAAAAAAGAAAAATAAAACCCACAAAACTAAGGAAAAGTTGACCAGTTTTTAAAATTTATCTTCGAAGGGCACAGGCAGGTACATATTTTAAGAAAGAAGGTAACTTAAAAGTTAATTTGAGTTACACAGGAGGTGTAAAGATTATACAGAAGAGCACTTTGGTTAACTATCTTCTGTGGCTCTACCCACTCATAAAAGAGTCTCTGTGCATAAATAAGCACATCAATAATTAAGATCACCAGTATACATACTTCAGATCTAAAATAAAATTATCTGAGTTGTGGTCCTTATATTCAAATCGTTAAGTATATCCATGCAGGAAGTCCAGACATCTTTACAGGAATTAAAAATAAAATTGCATATATCATATTCCTTCAATAGTTTGCGAAAGTCTATTGCTTTTAACAAGATTAGTATTATTCCATTTTAATACAGATATGTCGGGAGTACATAAACACAAGTACACCTGAAATACATCAGTGTTTAAACTTTTATTTCACACCATGCAAGGTCAATTATAACACATTAAAAAGTGACAACAGGTATAAGCGGCAATTTTACATATGTACATTGGAAATGTCCATTTTCAAAAGCTGAACACAATTACCATATTGTCTGTGGTGGGTAAGCTTCAATTCAACTGCTTATACAGATAAAATTTACTATGAAGAACAATGATTTTTTAGTGGTCCACATTCTATGATACTAATTCTTCGACTAACAGAACCTGTGGGAGAACCAAATGATTCAATCTTTTTCACAGTATCCATGCCATCCTTAACAAACCTAAACACTACATGTTTAAAGTCCAAATGTTCTGCCTTTTTCAGTGTTATAAAATATTGAGAATTATTAGTATCCCAGCCTCAATTGGCCATAGATAATAAGCCAGGGCCAGTTCGCTTCACATTAAAGTTTTCATCTTCAAATTTATCTCCATAAATGGACTTTCCTCCTGTCCCATCATGTTTGGTGATATCTCCTCCTTGACAAACAAAATCTGGAATTACTCTGTGAAAAATGGAGTTCTTGAAACCAAAGCCCTTCTCTCCAGTGCACAGTACTCTGAAGCTCTCAGCAGTTTGAGGAACAATGTTTGAAAGTAACTCCATGGTTATTCTTCCTAGAGGTTCCTCATCTGCACAAACATCAAAGAACACCACCAGGTTGGTCTCCTTTGATAATTCTGCTGCCAGTGATACTTGTCCTTTCTGAAGTTTCAATAAATTCTGCTGACATTCTTCAAATTTTTTCTGAAACACTCCGCCATTTCTTTTGTTTTAAATCTCACTGCAAGCTGTTTCACTTTTGCATCACCATCCGCATAATCTGAGGCAGTCCAGACTAAAGCGTTATTGGAAACACTTAAGGGTTTTAACTCCATTGTTTTAGCAATAACATGGTTTGCACACACTTTGAAGACCTGGTCTCTGCTCATCAGAATCCGGTAATAATTCTTCATTGTGTGCCAGGGAATCTTAATGTCTCTAGCACCATGCTCCTTCCACTGACTGACATCTCGATCCCATCGATAAAGTTTGGCTCTCCCTTTAAAGAAAATTTCTTCATCTTCTCCAGATTTTACTTCCACCTCTGGCGATGACCGGACACATACGTTTAAATACCGTGCTGTCTGCCACAGGGCCTTCAGAAGCGGCCTCATCAGTGTGGAGAGGACTAGACTCATGGGGTGTGAGGCAGAACAGGCTTTGAAAAGGATCCTGCCGGGATCCCAAGCTCCTAGGGCAGAGAAGGTGAGCCGGTCCCAGAACCTGGAAGGAAGCTACCTCGCTGCCATCCTAAGCTCCTAGGGCAGAGAAGGTGAGCCGCCCGGACACCAGAAACACTGCCCCCCCACCCTGAAAATGAGAAGACATGTAAACAAGCCTCAAAAACAGAATTCCGGATCACCTACAGCAACCCCAAAGGGAAACGAGATGGAACACTCTGATACTCAACCACCGGGACTCTCTGAACTGGCAACAAAAGAGGATCTGGGAAAAATGAAATCAGAAATAATTACTCAGATAACAGCAAAGATTTCACTCA